GTCTACCTGGCCTCATTTTCTCGCTGGCACCACCAGTGTGAAGAAAGTTTTGTTTCGTTGTCCGAACGCATTTCTCAGAAAATCCAATTAACTTGGCAATTTCTCTATTACTTTTGGTTCCTTCTTTGATGTGCGCAATAATTTGCCATCTTTCACCTTGAGTGATACGTCTTTTGCCCATTTTTCGCGTCTTTTTAGTGCAAAACTAACTTAACTTTTGTTTATTTATTAAATAATAATTAACTAATTCCAGTTAAGTCATATTTATATAAGGCTTTTTGACAAAGTCAATTAATTTAGGCCTATTAATGAGAAATATGGGAAAAAACTACTAATTAACTATCAATTAACAAGATATAAGACTTTTTTGATTGTGCGTCTAAATTTATGAACAAAATAAAATCAAGCTTATCAATTAACTTTTTTGTGTTAATCGGTATAGAATGAGTAATAAACATCCTGTAAAAAAAATTAAGGTACTCTATAATAGAGTTTTACTTCCTCTTTTAAATTATATATCAAACATAGCGGTAGCACTTTTTTTATTTTTATTTTGAGTATTTTCTTACATATATGAAAAAAAAAATGAATGCATCTAAATTTATGAAAGCTACTGTATATATATATATATATATATATATATATATATATATATATATATATATATATATATATATATATATATATATATATATATATATATATATATATATATATATATATATATATATATATATATATAACTAACAATGCAGAATAATTGTGTATAAAACTATTGCATTACAAAACATAACTGATGAGGTTATACTAAAAAAGTGTGAGAGCTTTACCACATGCATCCACCAAAGGTTTGGGTTTAAATGGATACAAAATATTTGTTACAACAAAAAAAAAAAAAATTTTAATAAAGTTATGAGGATTTTACATAAAAAACTCATGCTTTTGAACAGCTTGTATGTACTAATTTCATTGTTAATGTTTTGATTGTACTAATTTTATCATTAATGTTTTTAGCTTATTTATTAGTTGAACACTAGAAATTGACATTTTTCATAATATCAAATTCTAGGATTCAACTTTTCATATTATGTGATCAAAACCTAATCAGTTATTTTAATTCCCTTAAGTGGTTTATTTTAATTCCTTTAGTTGATAACCATATAAATAATGAGAATTATATGTAAAAAAAATTTATGTATGAATGAAGATATTCTTTTGAAAGATAAAATTTTATTTAATTTACAACTTTAGATAAATCAAATACAATCAAGCAAACTTCTTTATTTATCTCACCTAAGGCAAATAATTATAAATTTACAAAAATTTTTCAGACTACCAGCTTATAACATGTATTGGTCAACAGAGGCACGGTATTTTAAAAAAGCTGATCTCATATCTTTGTCTAGATAAAAAAAAGTTAGGAGAATTATTACATGTTGCTGATAACTCAAAACTTAATAACCCAGTTAATAAAACTTATTATTGCACCTGTACTAGATCACTATTGAGGAAAAAATAATTCCAGATAAAACTTGTTTCAGTAGAATCAGAAAAAAAAAGCTGAAACATACCAAAATTTCAGATACTCTAGTTCGGAGCCGAAACCAAAACCGACATTTTGGCAAATATTTTACCGAATCCGATATTAACATTTCGGCTAGTCAAAATTAATTTCATTAAGCAAATGTAATATTGCATGAAAAATGCAATTTTACATTTGCTGTTTTTTTATACTTGTATTATTTTAAAATTGATAACACATGTATCACAAATAGAGATTTAATACATAAGTTGGCGATATGAGTTATTAACTCATTTAACAGCGAAAATTAACAACTGGCAAATTTTCTCTGCAAGACAAGGATTTTATGAGGTATTTTGTAAAAATTCCTAAAATATTTTGTGAAAATTTTTAAAAATAACTGCTTTTCTAAATTAGATAAAAATTTGAATTCTTACAAATTTTTTGGTTTTCGGTATGTTTTTCAACTGAAATTTTGCTTTTTACAGAATTTATAAACAGTATCGAAACCAAAATTTCAGTATCAGTTCAAAGCAAAATTTCTGCTGAATCCGATACCGAAACAGAATTTTGGTCGATCACTAACTAGTAGTAAAAGAATATAATCAATGAGTGATAGAGGGGAGGAGGGAGGTGGGGTGTAGATTTATGTGACATGCTTATTTTACTGTATTGCACTAATGTTAAAACTAGGGATGGCACTTTTACTTATTTTAATGTAAAAACACGTACTTTTAAGCGTAAATTACTTACATAACTCATATTAAAATATATAATTCACTTACATTTTTTTTATTACATAAATTATATTATAAGTAAAACTTAATTACATAAATTTAATTACTTAAATTCGTAACTGTTACTTGAAAAAGTAATTTATTTTTACGAGTAAAAACAAATTACTTTAAAAGTTGTTTACTTTTTCTTGAAAAAGTAAATTACTTTTTCAGGTAAGTCGTGAAAAAAGTAATTTACTTTGAAAAGTAATTTCGAATTTACTTATTCGCAAAACTTACATTGAAAAGTAATTTATTTTTTATATGTAAAAAAGTTCTTTTCTGAGATAACGTTGTGTAAATGTAATGTTTGAAAAATGTAATACTTACTTTAAAAAGTAAAATAAAAGTACATCATAAAAACAAATTACTTACATGTGTAAAAGTAACTAATTAGAAAAGGCAACTTACACAAAAGTAATTTGAAAAGAAAAAAGATTTACTATTAGAAATAAAATTAAAGTTTTTCTTTCAAATACTTATTTTACTTAGTAAGTAAGCAAAATGTAAATTATATTATTTACTTCTTCAATAAACAAAGCCATTTTACTAAAATTTCGAGGGTTGCATACTGTAATATCTGGCGTGTATTGTTTATACTGTCATGACCTTTTTTATTTTTGTGGTTTTGTTGCTTTTTAAAATTGTTTTTGTTGCATAATATTAAAATATATAATGCATATATATAATATGCATTATATTATAATGCATTATATATATATATATATATATATATATATATATATATATATATATATATATATATATATATATATATATATATATATATATATATATATATAATAATAGAGTTTGATTATTTGAAAAAATACAACTTTTTGATGGTATTTGAAGTTTCATGCCCTTCGGCAATCTTCAGCCATATTTTATTCTTTTAAAATAAGAAAAAACCGTTAAAAAATACAAAATACAAAAATTAACAGAAAAAACAATAACAAAGCAATAGAATGAGTTCTGACGTCAAAACAAATTTTTAATTAGAAAATTGTTTAATCGGCCGTGTCGAAATGGGCGAGAAGAAACTTGTTTCGATGCCTGCACTTGGATATCATTTCACTTTTTTTGTTAATTAGATTTTTATTTTTGGAAAACAGAATTTGATATTTTTCATTTATACACAGTTTGCAAGACTTCATAGTTGGGTTGTAAGCATTGCACTGCTTAATTATTTTTCATTTAATAACTGGATTTAAATTTGCATCTTTCAGTTTCCAAAATTCTTTTGATAGTTCAGTGTCATTTTTGTATTTTAGAATGGTAAAAGATTTTATATGGTTGGTATATCTAATTTTGAATGGTGTTTCGCTTATACCGATGTATAGTTTGTTGACAGGAGTGGTAGTAGGATTAGTTGAACTCATTTTAGCTTAGTATACAATGTTTTTTGTTAAGCATTGGTTTGATAGAGGGCAGGTGCTTTTATTAAGGTAGTTGCAATTGGTTTTAGGTGGATCTTTTTTGTTGTTCATAATTTGTTGATTGTGTGCATTTAGGATAGATTTCATGTTCGGCATACAGCTATAACTTACTTTTATGGTATTTCTGTTGAAGATTTTGTGGAACTTGTGATTTATTGGGAAGTGTTTGTTGACTAAAGTTAAGAAGCTTTTTCCTATGTTAGTGCTTACATTTTTGCTGAAAGGTGGGTTAAACCAAATGATGTTGCGTTTACGGTTTTTTGTATAAGGTGAATTTAAATTAGGGTGGTATGAAAGTTTATGATTAAAACCGGACTTTAACAGTGTGTCATTGTATGCAGGAGTAGATCTTTGGAAAATTTCTTCACTTGAGGAATTTGCAGACAATCTTAACTCAATTGAATGCAGAAGCTGTTATATATATATATATATATATATATATATATATATATATATATATATATATATATATATATATATATATATATATATATATATTATTTTTTTGCTATTATTCTAGTGATTTTATTTTTTTTTCTTCTTACTTTAATATTTAAATATATCCTTTTGTTTTTTTTTATTTTCGTTTTTATCATCATTCTGATTATATCTCATTAACCATTGTGTTGTCTCATTATCTCTCATGTCATCTTATCCACTCTTCATCCTTTTATTAGTCTTTTTTAAATATGATTGTTCCTTATTTTTATTGATTTTTTTTAACTTTGTTATCATTATTATTATTTTTTGTTGATTGTTTCTTTGTTTTGTTTTATTAGTTTATTTTATCAAGTTGTCACTCCACTGACATGGTAATAAATCCTCTAATTAGACATTTTTACTATTGTGTAAAACGACATATTTGTTTTGAAATTAAATCAAGATTTGTAAAATATTAACTTGTAAAATCAATAAATAAATTAAATATAATGTGACCATGACCATGTATACTACCTTGATTTATACATATTATCAATAATGAATTTTCCTTGAAAAGCTTGATCAGTAAGTTATTGTCATCTAGGAAATCTCAAGAAACCAAGAAAATTTAAACTCTTGATTTACAATTATTCAAAATTATATAATGAAATATATAATCATCATTATCATCATGATCATCATCATGATCATCATTATTATTCTGGTTTTCACTAAATAAATATTTGATTATAATATAAAAAGGAACTATTTTTATACAATAAAAATATAAAATCATTTATAATTTAAAAAATATTTACAGAAACAAACTAAAAAATTACAAACATTTTTTAGTGCTTTAAAGACGCTACATCTAAAAATTCCATCTTCACTGCGTGCAATGTAGCTCAGAATTTTCAGATCTTGTGAATCATGTGAAACATAAAACACCCTTAAAGATAAGTAATAAATGTTTTTAAAAACATTTTCATTAATAGCAAAATATAAAAGTGAATATTTTTCTAATGAAATATTTTTTATAAATATTTATGAATACAAAATCTATAGTAGTTAAGAAAAAAATAATTATTTTTTACCTATTTATTGGATAATGCATAATAAACAAATTGCTGTCTTCTAATAACAAACTACCCTTGAAAAGAAATATTATATATATATATATATATATATATATATATATATATATATATATATATATATATATATATATATATATATATATATATATATATATATATATATATATATATATATATAATATTAAAAACATATGTTTTTCATTTTTTTAAAGATAAGATTATGCTGAACATTTTGTTATTAAATAAAAAATATTTCCATTATCTGAGTGAAAAATCTCTTGTCAAATATCAAGATATCACTCTACAAAATGAATTAAAAATTAAATGAAAGTGTAAACCAGTGTCTTAAAAATTTTTATAAAACTTTTTAACTAAAATAAACTTTAATGCACATTGTACTTTATTAAATAAATTTAGTAGACACCTTTTTTTTCTTTTTCTTCTTTCTCAATGTAACTTTTACACCATCAGCTGATACAGCCAGAAATACTCTACGCTTCTTAATATTACGATACTTATGTTCATACTAAATAAATCAATTTAAAATCAAACAGCAGCTAAAATACATTAAAAAAACTTGCTTTAAAATCACTTATGATATGTTTTAAAATAGTTTAAAATTAACATTAGTAATTTTTCATGATAAAATCAAGTAAATTAAAAAAAAAAAGCTCTATTGTTATTGTCTTATTCAGATATATATATATATATATATATATATATATATATATATATATATATATATATATATATATATATATATATATATATATATATATATATATATATATATATATATATATATATATATATATATATATATATATATATATATATATATATATATATATATATATATATTATTAAGTTTATGAATCGTTTTCCAGACTTAATCACTTACCTTCACTTCTAGAGATCTAAGAAAAATCTTTAAGAATATCATAAGCAAAACCCAAGCTTAACAATCTCTCATTTAATTACTTCTCCCAAGGATAAGGCAAAGCTATTTACAAAGTACTTTTTTTTCTATTTACCTTTTGAATCAAATGATACACCCTTCCTGTCATCCCAAAGAAAAATAATTAATCTATTGTTAGATATCCAAATTACCCCTGCTTTTGTTGCAAAGCTATTTCTTTTTTTGCAGTTCAGACAACGTAAAGTTAGTAAAGTTGTTTATTAATAAGTTTTTAATATCTTATTTTTATTTCAACAACTTACTTTCCATCCTATGATTCTACTGCTGACTATCATTATAATAGAGAGGTGTAACTGATGGTAAAATAAAATGGTACCTGGTGTAACTGAGATGCTTTTATAATAGAAAGGTGTACCTGATGTACCTGAGAAAGATTTTAAAATTACTGAATCTTTCCTTTACAACTGCAGTATTAAAGCTGCTCTTGATGGACAACACTCTCCTGCATTTTAAATAACTTCTGGGATACCACAAGTGTTTTTAAAATCTGAAACTATGCTTTGAGTTAAATCAATATCAAAAGATTTATTATTTCAAATTATATTCTTTCAATATTTATAGTATTATATATAATTAAATAATAGTAATATATAATTGCAGTGCAATATAAAATAATAAAAGAAGAAAAAAGGTAAAAATAATAATCATTATAGTTTTATTAAGATATCATATATTTCACAAAATGTCATCCATTTCAGAAGAATCCATGAAGTAGTTACCCAGTGGTTAATATAATTATATTATAAACTGATATATAAGAACAAATTAGTAAGACGAAGTAAGGGTAAAAATTAGTATGAGTAATAAAATAAGTGTATAAATTAGTATGGATGATGAAATAAAGGTACAAATTATTATGTGTAACAATATTTTAAGTATGAATAAGTATATGTGATGAAATTAGTGTACAAATTGGTATGAGTGAAAAAGTTAAGGTACTAATTAGTGCATGTGATGAAATTAGAGTATAAATTATGTGTGATGAAACTAGGGTATAAATTAGTATGTCATAAAATCAAGATATGAATTAATATATGAATGAAATTAGAGTACAAACTAGTGTGTGTAATGAAATTAGAGTACAAATTAATATGACGAAGTTAGGTTACAAATTAGAATGAGTGATGAAAGGCTGAGATGAGAGGTTGTAAATCTTTAACACCAAACTACTTATTAATAAAAAATATAATTTAATTTAAAAAAAAATTTTAAAAAGTACATACTCTTATCCTTCTCATAGCAGCAACTATTTCAACTCTACTGTTTGGCCGAGGAATTTCTTCAGTTCCAATATACTAAAAGATGTACTAAAAAATTAATAAAAACTCAGATAAAAAAAATTAAACAATACTGATCAAGTCAACAAACCCTGCAATTAAAAGATATTCCATGCTCAAATGCCTCTTCATTTTGGACTGGAATACGTAAATCTTTTGAATCTTCAACAGTCTGATACTGACCTGGTTTCGTACCATTTATTACTTTGAAAATATTCATACTCTATGTTAGAAAACCATCTAAAAATATTCATGCTCTATGTTTAGAAAACCATCTGAAAATGTTCATACTCTATGTTAGAAAACCATCTAAAAACAAATTTCATCTAATAGAGCTACTAGATTGGGATAAGTGAAAGGCTAAGGAGTTAGAACAATAGAAGTTGAATTCTAGATGTTTCAAATAATATCACATTACTTATTTATTAGTTAATTAATTCATGTCTTTTTACTAAAAATATTATATCAAACAAACTTTTAGACTTTTTATATAATTTATATGATTATATTATTTTTTGTTGATGTCAATTTTATCAGAGAATTCAATATTTCTAATATCACTAATAGAAAAACCTTATTTGTTTTAGACAAAAAAAGCTAAATAAAATGCTAAAACATGGTATAAATTGTTCCAATATATTTTTGTTTTGAACTTTTTCTTATCATACTTTTTTAAAAATGCAAGCAAGATTATGACTTTACAAATAAAATAAAAACAAAAGATTAGCAAACAAAGCTATTATATTAAAAGACTTAAAGGATTTAAAAAATAAAAGAAACAATTAACAACAGCAGTAGTAATAAGATGAAAACAGCTACTTTAAAGAATGAATTATGCAAACATAACTGAATAGATTTTTTCCAACTGTTTATTATTTTGAGAAACAAAGATATATTTTTTTTAAAACAAAAATATGTTTTGTTTAAATTTTTTTGTAAAATTATATAAAAAAATTTAAAAATGTAAGGAAAAAATACATAATTAAACATAATAATAATAATAATAATAATAATAATAATAATAATAATAATAATAATAATAATAATAATAATAAAAGTAATAATGAAAACATACTAAAAAATTTATTTATTAATTATAATAAATTAAATGATATACAAATATATATATATATATATATATATATATATATATATATATATATATATATATATATATATATATATATATTCACACAAATATTTGATTTCATTTAATATATTTCAATGTGCCACATATGCACAAAACAGTACAGTAAAGCAAAGATAATACAACTTACAAAAAAAAAAAAAAAAAACAATAAAAAAATACAATTATACAATTTTATAATACATACAAGTTTCAGCTTTTTAAAATCTTATATTTTTTATATAGTTTTACTATAAACTTGATACAAAAGTAAAAATAGAAAACAATTTTCATTATTATTATATTTATTATTTATTACAAATTATTGGTATTGATTTTTTTATTCATTTAACTTTTAAATAAAATTGATTGCATGACAATATATTGAGTTTTAAAGCTTTTTGGTAATTAGATTTTTTAAATCACATCATCAAGCAGGAAACTATTACAGATTTTATTGATATACAAAAATTTTATTGATATATTTTAGATATACAAAAGGTCATTAAAAAAATTTACTTCAACTTTCAAGTGACTAACTTCTTAAGGTTTCCATACTTTGCTCCAATCTCGTTATTTTATTTTTTCCATTTATACTCAACACTCTGCATCACTTATTTAGCCTTAATTTAAATAATAACTCAATAGTAATTGGTAGTTATTCTTCATGATGAATTCAAATTAATAAAGTTATCTAAAGAAGTTCCATGTAAAATAAATACTTGAAGAAGAAATAAAAATAAATATATCAATGTTTAAAAGCTTAATGTTATTAGTTTATTCAATAGTTTTGGATTGATAGACTTTAGAAAGTAAAGACTGCATGTACCATCAAAATGTTGAAGATAGTTACAGATACACAACTTTACAATTAATTCACTTTAACAATTTTAACACATAAAGATGTTTTACATTAATGATTAGCCAAACTATCAAAGGATTATCATAAACTTACTAATATGCTTGTTTCTAGTAGAGTTAACAAGAATTGAACAACATATTATTGTCCTTTGTTAAGTTGCAACAGACAGTAGCTCATTACAAAGTAAACAATTTCCTCGAATTTGATTTAGTATTTAGTTTTTCCTCCTGATGACTTACTGCAAGATGTAGATATAGTATAATGTGATAAAGTAAAAACCATACTACATACTCATGTGATAATGCCTAAAAGAGTTTTTCTTAAGAAATAAAACTGTTTTTTTAATAGAAAAAAACATTATTTTTAAATAGAGATGCTGAAAAATATAAAAACTGAATACAACAAAATTCATAAACAAACTTGCTATAAAATACACTTTTTTATTGCATCAAGTTACGTCAATTCACCTTGAGAATGTATAGATACAGTAATTCACCCTGAGAATGTATAGATACTGTAATTCACCTGAGAATGTATAGATATGGTAATTCACCCTGAGAATGTATAGATACCATAATTCACCTTGAGAATGTATAGATACAGTAATTCACCCTGAGAATAGATATGACTATGTAAAGATTGACTTCATTCAATATTAACATAAACTGCCGCCCAAATTTTTTTCCTAGAATAGTCCCTGTACATATATTTTTTTTCAGGGAGAATTGAGTAGATATGATAGTCAATTTATTTTAAGCTCAATTTATTTTATCAATTTATAAACCTTAATTTATTTAATATTATTCCTAATAAATGAAACACACTCATAAATTATCAATGGCCAGATTTTCAAGATGTTTTGTATTCAACTTTCAAGATTGATGTCATTAAATATTTCTTTTATTTGTAAATATGCATTTTGAAAAATTTCTACGCAAAAAATATTTTCTGCACCAAGCTTTTATCCATGTGACCCACTCTGTTTTTTTTTTTTTATATAGCGTTTTTTTTATATTACTAATTTTTATATTACTGGGTTTGATATACTCAAAAAATAAGCCCAGGCTAATTTTTATATTACTGGGTTTGATATACTCAAAAAATAAGCCCAGGCTAATTTTTATATTACTGGGTTTGATATACTCAAAAAATAAGCCCAGGCTAATTTTTATATTACTGGGTTTGATAAACTCAAAAAATAAGCCCAGGCTAATTTTTATATTACTGGGTTTGATATACTCAAAAAATAAGCCCAGGCTAATTTAACTATTTTAATGAGGTCAAGATTTTGATCTTAGAAACTTTAGTAACTCTAATTATTTTCCAATCTCCATGATTTATTTTTGAATTTACTATATCTTGGATTAATTTTGAAAAAAATGCATATAAAGCAAATTTAAATAAAACTTTTTATTTTGCATTGCAGAGTTTGAAATATTTAGAAAAAAAGAAAGAAAAAAAAATAAGAAACTTCATTTTCAAGCAGAAAAAGTGAAAAAATATTACAAATTTTAATTACTATTGAACAAATATTACACGAGTTAAAGCGTGAGTAAATGTTCTTAAAAAAAAAATCTTTCTAAAAAAATATTTAGATCTCAAAGAGAACCAATACATCTAAAACATGAAGGAGTTTTTTTCTCCTGCTTGTGTAACAAAAAATATTAAAATAAGTGTCAAATAATAAAATTTGGTATCAAGTACAAGTTAAATTGACTAGGAAAAATACAAGAATCAAAACTAAAAACATGGAGCAACCTAGTTAAATTGAAGATTTTTGATTTGCATACCAATAAAACAAAGTAAAATAAGAGAGGCATCACGTCATCATCAGCATACATTGTTTGTAAAAAGTAAAAAAAAATGAAACTGTTTCCTGTTTAATAAAAAAAGTTAATAGAGCATTCTAGAAGTTAGGCACACTTTTTTTCATTTAACTGTAAAAAATATTTTAATATTTATTTCTTAAAATTGAAACTGAATTTACATTTAATTATTTTCTTTTTGTTGTTGTTATTGTTGTTAAGCGTAAATTTTTATCAATTGATAATCAATTCAGCTGTACACAGAAAAACTGTGTACAGCTGATGCCACTTATATAAATGTTGTTAATAAAATCAAAAAAGCTGTTATAACATTTGGAAACACAACATATAATCTTCTGTTACAAATCAACCATGTAACTATTATCATTTGAATTCTTTAATTTTAGATTCCAACTAAGTTTTTAGTTGATGCAAACCATTAGTCACATAAACATCAAAACTTTATGTAATACAAACTTTCATTAAAACAATATTTTAAATCTGAAGTACTAAATAAGAAATTAAAAAATATTCATAATTTGTCAAATAATAAAAACCAGTGTTTCAATATTATTAAAGATTATTTAAAAAGTGGTTAGGGTTGAGATAGCATTAAGTTAGCCAATAAGTGGTGTTGTATTAGGCAACACCACTAATTTGCAAAGGTTGCAGATGATGCTAAGGTCACATACTTTGAGATCGTCAACATTGACCCCACACATGAACAGAATCAGTTTAGGTTCTCTGTGACATTATCTAACTGGGCTTTTTTCTTCCTTTTTCCCTTTCCTTTGCTAAATATTGCGACTGTTTTGAGCTTTGTTTTATCCTCGTATCTAATACTAAATATAGATGTTGCTGCACCACAATTAGCATTTTACTCAAATCTTATTACAAGCGAAGGGTCAAACTTCCAAGTTTAAAATATCACTATCTAAGGAGTTGGAATTTTACAGAGGTATTATTTCATTTATGATAAATTTTTACAAATATAAGGTTTATTTGAGCTTAAATGCAGTTGTTATACAAAATAAAAACACAAATTCAACATATCCAAAATATAAATGGGTAAATAAACTTATCTAAAATATTTTAAAAATATGGCACTTAATTGAAGATGATTTTGGATATTCAAAAAAAGTCTTGTAAATAAAATTTGTAAATCAATATGGATATTTGAAGAATACATTTTGTAAGGAACAGGAAATTGACAATCAAAAACTTGAATCAAAGATGGTTTTAGTTTTGTAAATTCTTTCTATTATTTCTTTATCTTTGAAAGAGGTCGAATTACACTGGGGGCGGAATTAACCCACCTTACCCTACTTTATTTGTTAATGCAACAAAAAAATATTTTAAGTTTTTTCTGGATTATGTATTTTATTTAATAAAGCCAAAAAACAAAAAATGGAGAAATTATGATTTCCACTATAAAGGTTTTTAATTTTTATTTAATGTTTTGTGAGAATTCAAACCATATGAGTCAAAACAGTTTTTATGGCCATGAAGAAAGAACTTTCATTCAACATTTTGGATCATTTGCAGTTTCTAAAATTTCAACTTATTCTAAACCTATTTATTAACAGATTGCTTTAATGCCTTTCACTTATCAAATTGCCTAAACTATTTCACATTCCAAAATATATTGGAATGTAATGTAGTTAAAGCATTTACAGTCAAACCATTATCTGAAACTAAATTAAATTTAGTTTTAGATAATGGTTTGACTGTAAAAGATTTTTCAAATCTGTGGCATCATTAAACAAAGAAAAAAAAATTCTTAAAAAAGTCAATAAAACCTTTAGACGATCATTTTGTACAAATTTGCTGCACTGTCTTGAAAAAGGATGTATTTTCATACACGGAAATACTGTGCACTAACTGATGCACTAACTAATAAAATTTCCATGAAAAACAAATTTGATGAAAATCAAAAAACAGTTATATTTAGGGCGTTCATGAAATACGAATTCGGCCTTATTTAAATGCAATTATTTAAGAAAGTGTTTTTATTAAATATTTTAAATTTCCTATTTAAAAGTGGCGTATCGAAAAGTGTAAAATTCGCAAAGCAAAAAGCAGCAATAATAGTTGTTTAACATATTTATATTAGTTTTTATAAAACATATATGGTATCAAGTAAACTAATCTTTTTAAATATTCACCTGATATAACAGATTGAAGCATGTTTCCACTTTATAAAACTTGAATATTTTTAAATATTGAAATAACTAACGTGGAAAACTGTCATTTTGACTTAAAATATTTCAAAATGACAGTTTTCTTATTAAGGGAGTTGTTTTAAAATATATTTATCTTGTAACTATCAAATCAAACGAGCTTACTTGATTTCGTTAAATCGGCCGACTCGAAGACTCCGTGTTAAAGAAGCGCGCCGATTCGTTTTCTATATTTGTCTTTGGTGCACAGTAAGCTCAAATTTTCGAAAACCTTTGTTGCGTTAAAAAATTATCATAAATCTCTATTTTGTTGCAAATGTTTTATTTGGAAATATTATAATTATTTTTTCCTATACTCTGGTAACTGCGCAAAATTTGACGGGAGAGAAATTTAACAGCTTAAGAATTGTTAGGTTTTTTGTCTGTTCGAACGTAATCCTAAATGTTGATTTATATATTACTTAAACAAAAAACGCCTATTAAAAAAAGAAATTAAAGTTTGTTAAGGTATAAGACCCCTCAAAAATCATAAAAAAATCAAAAAAAGTTTGTTAAGATAATGATATAATTCAAGACTTGCATTTTTCATTAAATTTTAATTTATAAAAAAAGTTTTAAAATCTTTGGCAGTGCAATCTTCACAAATGGTTGTCACTGATAATCAATATGAAGATGCTTTGCAAATAATTCATAAGTCAAAGTATTTTATTTAAAGTCACTATCAACTTTCAAAGTTATTTTATTATTTAGTTATGAAATTTTTTTTTTGATTCATTACTATCTGATTTATATTTATTGCGTTTCGCAGCAACTTTTGTTACGGTGAAATTATTTGATTTTTGTTCAATTTTTATGGCTATTCCTTTGGATGAGTTTCAATAAATCCGCAAGAATACCAAGTTTAGGGGATAAAATTTATTTATTTTTCGCTTCAAACAATCGAAATTTTTTCTGTGGCAAAACGCTTGATAAGCAAAATTATCAGAATGTTCCATCAGCACCTGTTTATCGACAAAAACATAAAGCTAAAACTTCAAGCATTCAATTTGAAGATATTTTCCGTTGATAATAATCTTTACCCTCATTCATATCATTACTTTACCATAGCAGACTTTCTTTAAAAATAGTTTTCTTATTTTTGTAGTAGTATTTTTTTCTGTATTCATAAAAAAAAATTTTTTTGATTAGCTGAATGTTGGCATATAAGCTGAATGTTGGCATATAAGCTGAATGTTGGCATATAAGCTGAATGTTGGCATATAAGCTGAATGTTGGCATATAAGCTGAATGTTGGCATATAAGCTGAATGTTGGTATATAAGCTGAATGTTGGCATATAAGCTGAATGTTGGCATATAAGCTGAATGTTGGCATATAAGCTGAATGTTGGCATATAAGTAAATTTTAGTTAGAGGAGCCCAAAGTTGTATAAGAAAAATCAAAATAACATTTTAATTTTAGTTTCAAAATTAGCACTTTAAATTAGCGCATAAAATTAGCAATTTAAACTTTATACGCTTTAGCCACTTGTCATAATCAATATTTATAAAATAGTTTAAATGAGGCATTTAGTAAAAAAAAAAGATAGTTGGTAAAATTCGAACTGTGAACGGGTAAAATGCGAACTTTTTGGCAAAACTGATAAAATTATTAAAACAGCTATTTCTTGTCTAAAATCAGATAAATGCAAAGATCACTACAATATCTCTGCAGAACATTTAAAACATGCCCAATATGAATAATTGAAAAGTGAAAATTATTTCACTTTTCAAATAGTCACACATGGATCCCTACATCAATGTCAACGTCAACTATTGTGCCTCTAGTTAAATCCTATAAAAAATCACAAACCGATCCAAACAATTACCGCGTTATCAGCATTATTCCAATATTTGCTAAACTCTTAGAATACCTTATCTTACTCATATGCCCGGAGATAAAAGAAACTCATCAACTTCAATTTGGTTTAATAATAAGAGCTGAACCCTCCATGCTGAATTTGTTGTAAGCGAAACAATTAAAACCGCAACAATTACCCTACTTACTTATGTTCGCTAGATGCTGAAAAATGCTTTTGACAGCTGGAACTGGGATATTCTTTCTCTCCAAATAGTTAACACTATATCTTCTTTATACCGTAGTGGCAGTGCAACTGTCTCATACCTGGGTTCCAAATCAGCCTCATTTGATCTTAAGCAAAGGAGTGAGATAAGGATCGATACTGTGACCCTACCTATATAACATATACACTGAAAAGCTACTCGAAACTATAAAAAATGATATCATTGTCGGTACTACTATATAGAAATTTGACTGGTGTTGTAGCTTATGCTGATGACATCATTCTTCTCAGTTCTGCTCTCTCGGGCCTAAAAACAACGTATAAAATGTACAACAACTTAAACGGCATTAAGTTTAATGCTGTCAAAACGGATCTTTTACTCTCCGGAAAAAGGCAAATAACGAACTGCCCAATATCCCTAGACGACCATCAAATTAAACCTCATGAGAAACTAAATCATCTCGACTTTACATAGGATACGAAAAAATCAATTTATGCTTCACTTAATATAATGAATATTGACAGTAGGGTATCAAATTTCCAGGCAACGGTGCAAATTCTGATCCTATCTGGAGTCCGGTTTGCACATTCATTGCAAATAAATCTATTTATCCGCTTTTTAAATAATAAAATAACCTTTAAAATCATTAATTCCCAACTTAACTACTGTCCAGTTAAATCTTCTTTTTTAGATGATATAAAAGAATTATGTGATATTCATAAACTAAATATGAAAACCTTAATGCTGGTTTAAAACTTAGAGACTCAGAGAATATAATTCCTGAAGCTACTCTTTATATTTTGGTACAAGTGGTTCGATGTTGGAATGTATAACAACAGCGAACAATTTTTAAAAACACACTTGAAAAAAACATTCTTAAATGATACTTTCTTTTATCTCTTTTTTCTTAGTTTGTATTTTTACCTTGTAAATACATTTTACAGAGGGTGATGAATTTTTTTTTTTTTTTAAACGGCAAAAGTTGTAATGGCATCCCCCCCCACGTGACCCTTACTCGCGCCGGCCCTCTATATATATATATATATATATATATATATATATATATATATATATATATATATATATATATATATATATATATATATATATATATATATATATATATATATATATATATATATATATATATATATATATATATATATATATATATATATATTTTAATGACGACTACAATTATGATATTTAAAAAAACTTTTGCTCATCAATTTTTTCATTGAAATTAAATTTAATGGAATTTGATATATTTTATCTAAATTAGGTTAAAATATTAAAATCAAAAATCATGCCCATCTTTTATTTATAACAACAAAAACAAAAAAATAACAACAAAAAAAACAAACTAACAAGCAAACAAACAACAACAACAACAACAACAACAACAACAACAACAACAACAACAATAACAACATCATCATCAAAAACAAAAAACAACAACATCAAAAAAAAAAAACATTTTTTAAAAACATTTTTGTGTGCAACGAAAAACAAAAAAAAACAAACGAAAAATCAAATGCTACGAGACAATTAGCTCTAGAATACCCCTATTTTAAAATTGGGTGTTCATTGATGAATCTAAACAGAGTTTAAAATGTGTTTTAGCCGTTCCTTCAATATTTAAAATTTTTAATTTAAGTTTTATTACACAACTTTCTTACACTTTGGATTTTATTTATTACATACAAGTTTATCCTATTACATAAAAAATATAATCTAGACATTTTTCAGTAGATTTCAATCCATGTTTTTTAATTGTGTGTATGTTTATGAAGGTGCTTCGATAAATCTTTATTGTGTTATCACAGAGCACCGCTCTGAAAGAAAGTTTAAACAAGAAAGTTCACGCCTTTTTTCCTTACCTATGTCGAACCTCAAATCTCTTGGTTCTGAAGCAAACACTTTAACCACTCTGTCACGGGTGTTTTGTTGGTAGTAGTATTGTCAAAAATAATAGTATTCCATAGAATAAGGATAATCCATAAAATAAATAAATAACTTTATCTCCAGGTTTAATTTTAAATTATTTAAATAGACATTTCACATGAAGTCTGTAATTATTTTTCTGTTGGCTTCTATTGTGTAATTGCAGGATATATAAAAAAGAAATGAAAGAAATTCTTGCACGATCTACTAAATGTCATTGTTTACACTAAAAACAGAAACATGTATATAACATATAAACTAAAAAAGAATAAATTTTAATTTCAAAAATACTACTTAATTAGTACTTTAAAATTAACTGTCGTTAATTTTAAAGTACTACTTATGTATCAGGCCAATTGTATATCAAAATAAAGTAATAAGGGTAAATGGAAAAATCTAATGCAGAGCGAGACACCAGGGTAAAATGAGAGTCTCACTTAAACATCAAATTTTTCGAGCCTTGTACTGGATTTTTTTGCTGTAGTTAATTTACATGTTTTAAAGTTGTTTCTGTCATTTTTTTGCTCAAAATTAGGGATTGCAATCCCGGGATCCCGGATCCGGAGATCACAGATCCCGAGATCCCGGGATCCCGGACGTTTTTGGGTTCCTGAAAATCCCGGGATTCTAAACACAAAATCCCGGGATTTTCGGGATTATAGCAGGATTGAACTAATTAAATTATTTTGTAAAACAAAATGTTCAAAGTTAGTAACTATACTGAATTATAACGAGTTATATAATGCTGCTTTGCAGGTTTATCCTGTTTATGCTTTATCCTTACGATAAATGGAACAAATTTTTGAATAGACCATGAAGTTCGGAATTTTATCATTGAAAAAAGTTTCACAAACACAAATTAAGGCAGGTTTGTTTGACTATTGTATAAAAAACAATCGTTAAGTTTGTTGGCAAGACTTCTCGCGTTAAAAAGATAAATTTTAAAATTGTTGAGCGAATTTGTGGTTAAGTGATTGCTTGAGTTTATTAAGTCGTTTTGTTCATTTCAAAAAATATTTTTAGAGAATGAAAAAAATAAAAATGAACAAGTAATAAAAAAAAAATTATGTCTAAAAAAATTTAATGATTACTACATAACAATTCCCATTGGGATTTGTATAATTATATTTGTA